CATCTCAACATCCTCATTTCTGCTACCCCAACTTTGTGCTCTTGTTTTCACTACCATACAACATAGCCGGTCTTATATCAGTCCGATAAAATTTTCCTTTAAGTTTCTTAGGTACCTTCTTATCGCAAATAACTCTGGTAGCTTTCCTCCACTTAAACCAGCCAGTTTGTATTCTATGACAAACATCTCCATCAATTTTCCCATCCTCCTGTATAATGCATCCTAGGTATTTAAACTTTGATACTTGAGGAATAATTTGCTCCCCCATCTTTACCTCCAAATCCCCATTGCCTTGCCTCCCTCCAAAATCACAATGTATATATTCTGTTTTGTTCCTGCTCAAGCGAAAACCTTTTGACTCTAACGTCCTTCTCCATAACTCCAATCTAGTGTTAATCTCTTCTTTTGATTCCGCCATGAGAACTATATCATCCGTGAAAAGCATGGACTTAGGTATTCTTTCTTGAATAGGTTCAGTTAGAACATCTAGAACAATGTTGAACAAGTACGGACTCAAAGAGGATCCCTGATGTAGGCCAATCTGAATAGGGAAGTCCTTTGTCTCACCTTCAGGCGTCCTTACACTGGTAGTTACCCCCTCATACATATCTTGTATGGCTTTGATATAAGCAACCCGTACACCTTTTTTTCCCAAAACCTTCCACATTACTTCTCTTGGCACACGATCGTAAGCCTTTTCCAGGTCAATAAAGACCATATGTAAATCCCTTCTTTTACTTCTATATCTTTCCATTAACCCTCTTAGTAAATAGATTGCTTCCGAAGTGGATCTCCCTGGTATAAATTCAAATTGGTTTTCTGAAATAGAAGTCTCCAGCCTCAACCTATATTCCATCACTTTTTCCCACAACTTCATTGTATGACTCATAAGTTTTATCTCCCTGTAGCTTGCACAGTTTTGAATGTCTCCTTTATTCTTGTAAATAGGAACTAAAATGCTTCTCCTCCACTCATCCGGCATATTCTTAGAGCGTAAAATTTCATTAAAAAGCTTGGTTAGCCACACCTCACCCTCATCTCCCAGACATTTCCAAACTTCAATAGGAATACCATCAGGCCCAACGGCTTTTCCATTGTCCATTTTCTTAAGAGCTGCCTTAACCTCTCCGATACAGATCCTGCAGTAAAAAGCCAAATTCTGATCATTTTCGTTAATTAACAAGTCTTGTAAGTCCTGAGTCGTATAATTACTTCCCTCATTAAACAACTTGTAAAAATAGGCCTCCCATCTGTCCTTAATATTACCATCAGTAACTAACAATTTACCATTTTCATCCTTTATACACTTTACTTGGTCCAAATCTCTCTTTTTCCTCTGCCTTTGCTTCGCAATCTTGTAAATATTTCTTTTTCCCGTCTTTGTTCCTAACTCTTGATAAAACCCTTCATAAGCTTTAGTACGTGCTTCGCTCACTGCTTTCTTCGTCTCTTTTTTAGCCAACTGATACTTTTCTCGGTTTTCTACACTATTGCACGAGTGTATGGCCTTAAAACAATCTCTTTTTTATTTGACTATCTCTTGCACACTCTTATCCCACCACCAAGTTTCCTTATCTCTTTGACCAGGACCTTTAGATTCTCCCAAAATTTCTTTACCTACCAAACAAACCCTTGTAGCTATCTCTTCCCACATCATGTTAGCATTTCCTTGCGACTCCCAAATTCCTTCCTCCACAAGGGTCCTTTTGAATAACTCTCGTTTCTCACCCTTTAACTACCACCACCTAACCCTGGGTTTTACCACTTGATTGTACTTTTGCCTGGTACTCTTAAAACGTACATCAATAATAAGTACTCTATGTTGGGCAGTCACCCCATCTCCTGGAATCACTTTGCAATTAGTACACAATCTTCTGTCTGGATTCTTAACCAAAAAGAAATCAATATGTGATTTTGAGGCACCACTTTTGTACGTGATTAAATGCTCCTTTCGCTTCTTAAAACAAGTGTTGACAATCTTAAGATTATATGCAAGAGAAAAGTCAAGAATAGATTGTCCTCCACTATTAAGCTCTCCAAAACCAAAACCACCATGGGCCCCGCTGAATTGTCCTGCTTCCTTACCGACATGTCCATTAAAGTCCCCACCGATAAAATTTTTTTTTTCGAGTGGTATGCTTTGAACCACTCCAGCATGATTTGCAGTTTCATGTTGCTCTTGTTTGTTTCAATATGCACAGGGAAGACTAAATATGGCCTCTCTCTTATTACAAAACCGCACTATAATACACCTATTAACTAACTATGGAAATCGATTAGGCATATACGTAAGGCATGTGAAGACAATATCCTAGGTACGTAGCGCATCAGGCTTTTTAGTACACATACTGATACTATGGCCACTATGGCCAGTGCTGATATATGGTATGATTCAGCCTGCCCGTCCTAAAGATAAAACACACTAGTCGGCAAGGAAAGCATGGTTTAATTAATACTCTGTCACCGTCCTTTTTCTTTTTTTTTTTTGACCTGAAACAATGTCGCTATCTTCAACAAACCATTGTTTGGCACGGCCTTCTGATGTAATCCATGTCACTGTCTTATTCGTTAGCCATCACCGCTAACCTGCATTTTTCCTACCAGTTAATTACCCCCACCTACTTATTGTAATATATCTTAATAGTGTCTCACTCTTTCATCCTTATTGTATTACGTCTCACCCGTGGATCCTAGTCATTACCCTGTCCCGCCTCCACCTATCACCCCTCAGATCAATTAATACCTCATTCGATGATTATCACTGTCCAACGATACTACTATTATTATTTGGTTATCCAACCACTTTTCCTTGTCCTTTCTCTTTATGCTGCTACATGCTACATGGCATATTCTGGCATTTAAGAATTTTGATTTGCTACTATACTGATATATCGGCACTGATGCTGATCTATTTGGATTGGCTATGCATTATTCGTTCAGTACGTTTGTATTCTACAGTCATATAGAGCTCAATTTGCAATTCGTTGAGTAGGTTGCGGCTTTGGCACCAAATATTCCAGAGCACTATGAGCTGCATTTCGCGGTTCCAATGGCTGGGGCAGTTATTTCTGCGCTCAACACCAAATTGGACGCCACAACGTTGTCTGTGATATTGGAACAATTAGAAGCTAAAATTATGTTTGTGGACTATCAGTTCGTTGACGTTGCCCTTAACTCGTTCCACATAATGTCCCAAAGAAAATGTAAGCCTCCGCTGCTAGTTGTTATCCCAGACTATAACAAACAGCCACCTTTCGTTTTTAAGAATCTCCCGCCAGATGCCCTGCACTTCAACCAACTGCTTGAAAAGGGACAAGCAGATTTTAAGATCAGGATGCCGAGCAGTGAATGCGATCCTATATCAGTGAATTACACGTCGGGCTCCACGGGAACTCCTAAGGGAGCTGTTTACAGTCACAGAGGCGGCCATCTTAACTCAGCGGCGGCAGTCTCGCGGTTCGATATGAAACCAATGCCTGTGTTTCTGTGGACAGTGGACATGTTTCGCTGCAACGGATGGGGCTTAGCTTGGGCAATGGCTAGTCTGGGTGGCACCAATGTTTGTCTCAGAAATGTCTCAGCGAAAGCCATGTTTGATGCCATCTTTCGTCACAACGTAACCCATTTGTGCGGTCCACCCGCACTGTTGAACGAAATTGCAGATGCACCACAAAGTGAGCACAAGCCTCTGCCTCCGGGTGTGAGTATCACAGTTGCTGGAGTGCTACCGCCATGCCAGGTCTTTTGCAAGGTAGCAGAACTTGGGTTCAATGTGAACGTTGGATATGGCATGACAGAAGCAATGGGTCCTGTATTGGTGCGACCTTGGAAACCCAATTCAGGCGATGAACCAACGGAACAACTCAGTTATGGAGATCAAGGGCGCCCCATATTGATGATGGAGGGGATTGATGTGAAAGATCCAAACACAATGGAGAGTACACCTTGTGATGGGAGAACCATTGGTGAGATTATGTTTAAAGGCAACACCATGATGCTGGGGTACCTGAAAAATCAACAAGCGACCAAGGAAGCTTTTAGAGAGGGATGGTACAGAACAGGGGACCTCGCAACGAGGCAGAAGGATGGTTCCATAAGACTGAAGGACAGGGCAAAAGATATGATATATTCAAAAGGAGAGGCTGTGAGCTCACTTGAGGTGGAGGCTGTGTTACTGAGCCACCCAAAGGTTCTGAATGCGGCTGTTGTGGGGAAATATGACGAACATACGGTGGAGTCCCCCTTTGCAGTTATCAAGCTGAAAGAAGGATGTGGCGCCACCGTGGAAGATATTATCAGGTTTTGTAAAGCTCGGTTGGAAACTCATATGGTTCCTCAGAGTGTGGTTTTTGGAGAGTTGCCCGTTAATTCAACTGGCAAGGTCCAAAAATTCCTCATCAGAGAGAAGATCAAATGCGCTGGATGACGTGTCTCCATAATCGATTTAAGCATGCATGGCATTAATAAGAGTGGCCTTCTATGTCTTATGCACAGACATCTACCTTTTAATTATAATTCTTGAAAACATTACTGTTCTCTCCCGTGGTGTAATCTATTTTCAAATCATGGCTGATTTAACTTTTATACTTATAATTATTTGTCTAGAATGTTTATGACGTACTACTTGGTTTTTTTTAACTGTGCACTTTAGTTGAGGATTGATTATTTACATCTTTTGGATTTCAATTCGCTCTATTTCTTTGAATATTGTACTTTTGACGTCATGAATTTTCTTAATTAGCTCATTACGAATTCCTCAAGACAAAGAAATAATAGACCTATTTGGAATAGTTTATAACTAATTTAGAAACTATTTTATAATAGTAATTTACAGAATATGAGACAAGCATGTGAAAAGAATTTTATTTTAACTTACGTAAAACGTATTTATAAGAGATTTCTACTGTTCTGGCAAGGGGGCCACTATCAATTTGGTAATTTGCAGGACCAGCCCGGTCAGGGGAAACAAAAAAGAAGATAATTTGTGGGACCAGAGAGAGAGGGTTATTCGCTTAGTCATAGTAAAGACCCGGGAAATCATCCAATAGGCAATAGCTGCGATATGAACAGTAAATAAGTAAATTACAAATTGGTAAACTTGCCGCCATTGATGGTGACGCATGACACAGGCGGACTGTGGGTGTGGATTAGATTCCTTGGGTTCTGCTCTTTGTTCTTCAAATTTTTTTTTTTTTCCTGGGATAACAATTCGTCAATCTTGTACAAGACCGTATCACAGAAGGAGTTCCTCCCATATGTTACGAAACAGCATTCTTAACTAATTTGGCTCCTATTGAGCAGGCTCCACTGTATATGGATTTTGATGGTCAAGTAAGGCTGCCCATGGCCTTGGCTTTCTCCCTCAAAACAAATTTTTGTATCTTTCCTGTTGCAGTTTTTGGTAGGTCCTCAAAAATAACAGTTTTTGGAGCCATGTAATGGGGCAAATGATCTCGACAAAAATCAATTATTTCTTGAGCATCTGCACTAAACCCCTCTTTCAGACTCACAAATGCACAAGGCGTTTGCCCCCAGTGATCATCTGGCCTGGCCACAACCGCAGCTTCAAGAACTGCAGGATGGCTATATAAAACTGTCTCGACCTCCACTGAGCTAATGTTCTCACCCCCTGATATTATTATGTCCTTCAATCTATCCTTAATTTCTATATAGCCATCAGAGTGTTTCACTCCCACATCTCCGCTATGAAACCACCCACCTCTAAAAGCTTCCTCTGTTGCTTCCGAATCTCTCAAATATCCACTCATCACCGTGTTTCCCCTGAACATTACCTCACCCATTGTTTTGCCATCGGCTGGGACGCTTTTCATAGTGTCAGGATCTTTTATGTCAATAGCGTCCATAGTCACATGGGGAATTCCTTGTCTGGCTTTTCTCTTGTATTTTTCTTCAGGAGCCACAGAATCCCACTCAGGTCTCCATTCACAAGAAGTCCCAGGACCATATGTTTCTGTTAGGCCATAAAGGTGAGATACACTAAAGCCAATCTCCTCCATCTTGGATAGGATTTGTGGTGGTGGTGGAGCACCGCCTGTCACCACCACTACCTTGTGGGTAAGTGGCCTCCTATCAGTCAATGCAGAGTTCACGATCATGTTCAAAACAGTAGGAGCTCCTCCCATATGTGTCACCTTATGTTCTGTCACCTTCTCAAAGATGTCCTTCGGAGAGACTTTCCTCAGACACACATTGGTTCCGCATTGAGCTGCCACTCCCCAGGGCAAACACCACCCGTTGCAGTGAAACATAGGCACAGTCCAAAGATAAACAGGCATAAAGCCCATCCCAAAGAGAAGAATAGTTCCTAGAGTATTCAAATAGGCCCCCCTGTGACTAAAAACAACCCCTTTTGGCCTAGATGTGGTGCCTGAGGTGTAATTCACACTTATTGGATCAAATTCACTATTTGGCCTAACAATCTCAAACCCACTACTCCCCGTAGATAGTAGCTCCTCATACTCATAGCTGACTGAGCTAGTATCGATGGTAGATGAGCCGTCAGAGTCTGTGATAAGAACTAAAATTGGCAAGTTTCTGACTCTTTTGCTCAGCAGGTTCAATGCTCTCCTTGCAACTTCGAGTAATTGGTAGTCTACAAAGAGGACCTTCGCTTGTGAATGTTCTAGAAGGACTGAAACCATAGCTCCATCAAGACGTGAATTTAGAGTGCAAAGAATTGCTCCGGCCATTGGTACTGCAAAATGCAGTTCATACATTGCAGGGACATTAGGTAACAGGGTAGCAACCTGTTTGGAGAAAATATGAAAAATAGCATCAGAGGTTCAGATAGGAAATTCCAAGTCCAACATCCCTAACAGATCCACATTTTCTCCAATCAAGAAAAGAAAAGTCATCATTCTGCCAATGAAAATTACTCGTAAAAGTCGCAAACTCGCAACGCGCGAGTCCGCATATATTTTAGATGATATAGTGTCTTATTTTGTCTAACTTCGATTCTTTTGGGAAATGGTTACCTAAATATAACAATTCCGCGCAACGAAACGAGTACAAGACCCAGAAAAAGGTTTAACCTTGGGCCGCAATAAAGGGGAAAAACTAATGCAAGTTGCAGCCTCCCCATCAAAATGACGAAGCAGGGCATGAATTTGAAAACTCGGTATCGTAATTATACACGCATGTTCGATCAGATTCGTGGGGTTATAAAGTTGCTAGAGAGCGCAAAATAATCCAGGAATAGTATCGCACAAATCATATTGATCAAAATGCCCTGAATATAAGTAAGGGTCAAAAGGATAGGACTCACCACATCCCCACGGGAAATCCCCAACTGAGTGAGAGCGGAAGCTAGTTTCAAACAACGCAGATGGGTTTGCCCCCAATTATATTGGGAACGGCCATACAGAATAGAGGTTGAGAGGGTAGCGAAATTAGCTGCTCTTTCCAAGAAGCTTACAGGGGACAAAGGGACGAAATTAGCAGAGCAACGAAGCAAACCCTCCACTGATTCCCGCGATTCGGAATCAAAGTTCCGCACAAGGTTAGAGTATTTACGAAGATTAGGAGGTGCGGTAATGTAATTTGTTCTGAAGAATCGGAAGAGAACAGTCCGGGGAAGGCTCTTGAGGAAGTGGTCCTTCATGACGGTCAGAAAGCAGAGTAAGCGATGACAAGGCATGGGAATAGGGAAATTCAACGTAGAAACCAGAAAGATAAATGTGGAATTTGAAGTGTGCCAGTTTGGCAATGACCCGTTCCCGTACCGAAACGGACAAGGAGATAAAGAATAGCAGACACTATTAAGGTATTGAAACAACAGGATATGCAACAATATCAGAGATAGATATGATTGCTGATGCATTTGGCCGTCACTGGCGATTACGATACGCACCAATCATTGTTTCCTCTTCATATCCAGAGAGTAATCATATTATTTTTTATTAAGTATTTTCAAATACGAAGCATTGAGGCGGCGGAAGGTCATTTTTTTTAAAATAAAAACAAATGCAAAAATAAAATTAAAAAGACAAAATAAAATCCTCGCGTACACTATAAAACAAAGGGCATGAAAACTGGGAATATTTCAAATAAAAAATGGGTGAATACTAGTGTAAGATTGGTTTACAATAATAAGCAGAATGGATAAGGGAATGTGGCTGGGACAAAACGCGAGCGAGGCTACTGCAGCGAACGGGAGAGAGACAAGCAAGGAGTAGTGGTTAGTTAAGTAACTGACCAGATGGCCGCGGGAAACGCCCAAGCGGGAGAGAGCAGAAGCGAGTTTCAAGCAACGTTGATGGGTGAGGGCCCAGTGAAACTTGGAGTTACCGTAGACTATGGAAGTAGTGTGCGCGCTGAAATTGGCGGCTCTTTCCAGGAAGCTTATGGGAGAGAGTGGGCCGTAATTGGTGCAACCAGAACCACCCTCCTCCGCCGCCGAATCAAAATGGGAGTGCTTGCTGCGTACATGAAGGCGGGAAGCCTGCCTCCTGGGTTTGCAAAATGTCCTGTTCCTGTTCATGTTGAAGCCGGACGCCCAGCTGTTGATGTTTAATAACTGCAGACTCGTCATCATCTCCCTCACTTCACTCCCCAATTCGCGTTTTTGCATTATTTCTCTCTCTCTCTCTCTATATATATATATGCTACCACTCCTCTCCCAACTCAACACTCATTCCTCTTGCATTTCACCGTCATGTTTTCTTTTTTTAAAGAAAATTCCGCGAGTTCATATAGTCCTGTTTGATTTTTAATCAAGTTCTTAGCTTTAGTTGTTTTTTATGGTGATTTGGACAGGACCATGATCCTTTAATATAGTCTGTTTTTCCTCGTTGACAAAAAATTGTCGCTCTCACTTCTCTATCAATCAATGAGCAATTCAGGAACATGGAAATGCACGAGCTTGCGTGTTTCTCCTTCAAAGAGTGTTTTCCCTTCAAAGTGGGTTGGCAGCATTATTCAATGAAAAATTTGGGGAAAAATTTTCCTCTTGAAAACTGTATCAGTGATAATGACTTATTGTGTTTATGAATATTGATACTTTTTGTTATCGGTAAAACTATAAATATTGATACTTTTCACGCATTAAAATTTATCAGATCCTTCCCACTAATAAAGTTTTTAATAAGGAACCTTCTACCTAATTTTTCTTATTTTAACTGATTAATTAATTAATCATTAAATCCCAATTCAATAATGCCCCTTTATTTGAGGCCGAAATCGGTGAAATGCGTTAGTAGATATATACATCGATGCACAAGTTCATCACGACTATAATGGGTTTTATGTTCAAAACATAAGCCACTTTGCAAAAATTGGAGGAGTATCAATTTACGATGAGATTAATTAAGTATAACAAGAAGTACAGAGAGGAGAAATCCTAGAACGAAGAACACGTGAGAGGGAGAAAAGAGCATAAGAGAAAAGGAAACTAGAACTAGATTATCATGACAGGAAGTCCATTATTAATGAATATATAACATCAAAGAGCTAACCTAGACTTTATATTGCCTCTTGCACCTGCAGCTCAAACTTCCCAATCAAGTGCAACACATCACAATGCAAAGAGAGGACGGTGGCTCATTCAACCACCCCTTCCCCAACCAAAATTAGGGCCTATGCTCCTAATTATGTGTCACGGCCACTAAACAGCAAGCAATAGTGTTTACTTGCCTAGATGATACCAATAATGCGAGAACACAACCACCAATCTGTTGTGTCGTTTTATATAGATATCTATCATATAGGCTCATTTAATTAACACACACAGTAGGATGACTAACTAATTGAATGTCCAGTTTGACTAGTTGCGGTTTGCGCTATTTTATAAAGAAAATTAACTCACACCCTAATATTCGGAACTCGCTTATAACAAAATGGCCGGAAATAGAATATGAATGAACTAGCTAGTTCAGCTGAAAAAAATAATTGTAACTAAACTTTGATAATGCTTGTTCAGTCTATCAATTAAATCATGACATCAATTGTTATCAAGATACAACTTTTTGAATGAATGGAAATTGAACGAGCAAAAAATTAATACAACTCTTTAGGTGCAAGCCTCTAAAAAACATGTCATCAGGATATTTGTACGATAAAAATATTTACCATACGTACAATATATGGTATCCTGTGGGTTTAGATAGGTCTATGCTAAAATCGAATTTCGAGGAGGGTGGCTCTGCCGGCTCATCCTATTTTCAGAAACTTCAAATCGAAATCGGAGGAATCTTATGGAAGGACCAAGGTTCTTAGAGGAATCTTATGGAACAAAATTTTGCTGTGAGACAAGATTATGGTAGGAATAGAAAATATTTTATTGGGCGCACTGTTCAAGGCCCTATTCTGTTCTATATATAGACAGGGTAAAAACCCTAGATTACATTGTAGTGTGACACGTATACAAAGGAATATACTAGAAGAATGATACAAGGTTCACATTTACAGATCAGGAACATGCTTGAGTGTAATGGGCCTGCGTAATGGGCTTTCTTATTGGACTTCCTGTTATATTCTTAACATCCCCCGTCAAACTAGGCCTGGGTGAAGGGACAAGGCCGAGTTTGTCTCTGAAAGCCCAAAATCGAGAATGAGACAAGGCTTTTGTGAAGAAGTCAGCAATCTGATCGGACGAGGGAACATACCGAACTGAGAGTTGCTGTCCGATAACTCTGTCTCTGATGTAATGAACATCAAGTTCGATATGTTTTGATCGAGCGTGAAATACCGGATTGGAAGCTAGCGCAGCAGCACTTAGATTATCGCACCACGCAATCGGGGGTTGTTTCAGATGGATCCCCAATTCTCCGAAGAGGGATTGAAACCACGCAAGTTCCGTTGAGAGATTCGCTAGAGCTCGGTACTCGGATTCAGCAGAGGATCGAGAAACAACAGGCTGCTTTTTGGCGGACCATGAAATTAACGAATCACCAAGGAAGACACAGAACCCTCCTATTGACCGCCGATCGTCTGGACATACGGCCCAGTCTGCATCAGAAAATCCTTGCAGCATCAGGTGAGTACTCGGTTTGATATGTAGAGCAAGGTGAATAGTCCCTTTCAAATATCTCAGTATTCGTTTGAGTGCTTGCCAATGAACATCTGTCGGTGAGGAGAGAAATTGACTCAATTTGTTGACAGCAAAGGTGATATCCGGTCTTGTGTTGATTAGATACTGTAGCGCTCCAATAGCTTGCCTGTAAGAAGTAGGATTGTTGAGTGGAACGCCATCTGCTTTAGAGTATTGTCGGTTGACAATCATAGGAGTAGGAACTGATGAACAATTTGTCATGCCAAATCTATTAAGAATCGATAGAATGTATTTGCTCTGCTTCAAATATAGTCCAGTGTTGTCTCTGTAGGCCTCAATACCCAGAAAGTAATGAAGCAAACCCAGATCCTTTAGAGCAAAATGTGAGTTTAAATGCTTGATAAACAGTTCTAGTACTCTAGGGGAGTTTCCAGTGACCACTATATCATCCACGTAGATGAGAACAAACATAACAAAATCTTTCCCTTTTATGAAGAACAAGGAAGTATCACATTTGGAGTGAACGAAACCCCAATCTAACAAGGTTGACCTTAGCTTTTCAAACCAAGCCCGGGGAGCTTGTTTCAAACCATAAAGTGCTTTCTTCAAGAGGCAGACATGCTTTGGAAATTCTGAAGATATAAAACCTTCAGGTTGTTTCATTAATACTTGTTCTTGTAGGTCACCATTCAGAAAAGCATTATTAATGTCTAGTTGTCTTATTTTCCAGCCACAGGTTATAGCAAGAGATAGAACGAACCTTAGGGTGGAGGTTTTCAGGACTGGACTAAAAGTCTCATCGAAATCTTCTCCAGGTCTTTGTTGAAAACCTTTAGCAACTAATCTAGCTTTAGGTTTAAAACCAGATCCATTTACCAAAGGTTTGGCCTTGAACACCCATTTACAGTCAACCAGTTTCCTTTGCCCATTATAAGGAACTAATTCCCAAGTGCGATTTAGCATAAGTGCATTATATTCTTCTGACATAGCTTGCTTCCAATCAGCAGAGTTCATCGCCTCTTGAACAGTAGTGGGTTCTCTGATAGTGGTTACTTCAGTTGTCACGGCTCCAATATAGGGTTGTTTAGGTTTAAAAACCCCTGCCTTGCTTCTAGTTATCATTTGATGTCTGACCGGGGAGATACTGTCAGTCTGTGAGGATGAACTTTGAATACTTCTTTCTTCAGTATTAGGAATTGTAGATTCATGAAGTTGATTTTCTCTGCTTTCTGCCTCAGGAAAGTTAATGGAAAAATTGTCTCCATCTTGTTGCTCTTCTTGTGTAGTACCTTCCTCAACCGTGGGCAAAGGAATCAGGACTGGAGTTCCTTGAGAGGAATCAGATGAACTAGCTGGATCAACCTGCTCAGAATCAGTTGTTGGACAAGTATTGGGCAGCGATGATAGAGCTGGTTGGAAAAAAGCCTTAGGATGCACTTCTTCCACAGGTACCTTTCTTTTGTTCAAGAACCCTGTAGAGAAAGGAAAATCTAGCTCATTAAATACAACATGCCGAGAGATATAGACTCTACCAGTGGGACTTAGACATTTATAGCCCTTGTGATTATTGCTGTAACCAACAAATACACATTTGACAGTTCTGAATTGTAATTTGTGATCATTATACGGTCTTAAGCAAGGGTAGCATGCTGTGCTAAAAATCTTTAGATGTTCATAGTCAGGGATTCTTCCAGTTAGCCTGAATAGAGGAGAAATTCCTCCTAAAACTGGAGTAGGCAAACGGTTTATCAATTCTGTTGCTGTGTGAAAAGATTCCCACCAGTAGAATAGTGGCATCTTGGCTTGAGCTAAGAGAGTTAGACCAGTCTCTACAATATGTCTATGTTTCCTTTCAGCTCTCCCATTCTGTGGAGATGTATGTGGACAAGAATGTCTAAAATGGATACCAGAATCTTGTAAGACCTTGGAAAACTTCCTATATTCACCTCCCCAATCACTTTGAACAATTTTTATTTGGCCATCAAACTGTTTTTCAGCAAAGTTCTTAAACTGAATAAACATAGGCAAAGCTTCATCTTTAGTCTTCAAAGGGAAAATCCAGGAGTATCTGCTATAATCATCAACAAATAATATATAATACCGAAAACCATTCATGGAAACAAGTGGTGAGGGTCCCCAAAGATCAGTGTGTATCATTTCAAGTGGCTTAGAGGCATGTGAAGTGGAAACTTTGAAAGGTAGAGAGTGCATTTTGCCATATTTGCATGATTCACAGAAACTAAGTTCATTTTCATTGGCAAGAGAAACTTTCAGATTACATTCACTGATGATTTTGTTTAAAATTTTGTCACTAGGGTGACCAAGTCTACAATGCCAAAAGGTCCTACTGAAAACTTTAGAACTAGAACTAGATACAGAGTCAACATCTTCTTCAGCTACTAACACCAAGTCTTCTTCATTTCCATTCTTCCTCTGATCCAGAACACGAAACATGCCCTCTCTACTTGGTTGACCCTGCAGCATTGTTTCCCCTGTTGTTTGATCCTTCACAGATACACCATTAGTGTTAAAAATCACATCTGCTTTATTGTCATGAGCTACTTGATACACACTGAGCAAGTTCTTTTTAATATAAGGAGTATAGAGAACCCTACTCAGC